GGCTCGGCCATGCGCGCTCCGCGGGGCCCGGCGCGCTGAGCGGGAAGATGCTGCTCGGCGCCGGGCGGTAGTACTATGATTTGCTATGCGGCCGCTTTGATTGCAAGTGTCCTGGGCGCCGCGGGGCTGGCCGCGCAAGGTGAGTCCAAGTGCGGCCGCGCTGCTTGCCCCCGCGGAGCCTCATCCCGTCCGCGCCGTGCGAGCGGGGCACCAGGGACGGGACGCGCCGCTGCAGCCCCTGCATCAAGGGCAGGGGCAAACTTCTGCCCAGGTCGATGCCTCCCACCCGTGGGCATCGGGGCGGGCTCTGCCCTGTGCCGTGCCCCTGCCACGGGCTGCGAAACCCGACTTCTGCCTCGGGAGGAGTGTGCCGGGTGCCCCCCAATGCCTTCGGGTTGGTTTGAAATGCCGCTGCCCGTACCCCACACCGGGGCGCTTGCGGGGACGCGTGCTCGCAGTCTGCACGCACAGGGCGCGCAGCGCTGCGGAGCGGGTGCCCGGGCTGTCGGCTGGCCCTCGCTGGCGGAGTTCAGCTGCGGGGTGGGAGCGAGGGGCTGGCGGGCAGGGGAGCAGGAGGTTGAGCCGTGGCTCGTGTGGACCGGCAGGAGGCAGGCTTCCCGGCGCTTGCTTTTTCAGTGTTTCGGTGGGCCGTGGGGAGACCCAGACCTGCAGGTGGCTCGTGTGTACCGGCAGGAGGCAGGCTTCCCGGCGCTTGCTTTTTCAGTGTTTCGGTGGGCCGTGGGGAGACCCAGACCTGCAGTGGCCGGAGGCGGGTGAAGCCTCTCCTGCTCCCAGGTTGTGTCCTGCTCGAGGGTTGGGGCAAGCGGATGGTGACGGATGCCAAGCGTTTCCCTGCGGTTTATAGGTGTTTGTAGCCCCTGTTTCTCTGGGCGATGTCAGTCCTTCTCTGTGAATTGCATTTCTGCGGCGCCCTTCATCCTTTGCTCTCCAAGTGCTTTGCATTCAGCGTAAGGCGAAGCCTCTCCTGCTCCCAGGTTGTGTCCTGCTCGAGGGTTGGGGCAAGCGGATGGTGACGGATGCCAAGCGTTTCCCTGCGGTTTATAGGTGTTTGTAGCCCCTGTTTCTCTGGGCGATGTCAGTCCTTCTCTGTGAATTGCATTTCTGCGGCGCCCTTCATCCTTTGCTCTCCAAGTGCTTTGCATTCAGCGTAAGGCGTTCTGCTCGCTTTGAGGGGGTGGCATTAACTCCACTGACGGATGGGGAAACTGAGGCATAGAGTTGCCCAAGGTTACGGGAGACTTGATAGGACCCACAAGTGCTGACTCCCAGTGCACTGCTGCAACTCAGTTCATGACTCTCCTTTCTGTCGGCTCCTGGTCGCACTCCCCTTGGGCTAACCCCTGCAAGGGTAAGCTGAGCTTCCTGCTCTCAACTCTGTCTGCTTTTGGTTCAGAGCCGATCCCTTCTCCTACCAGCCCTGCTGGGCCATCCAGCCACCTTCCCTTGGCATCAGTCACAGATGAAGTAGCCAGGTGGCTACTGAAGTCCCACCAAGTGCCTGGGTCCCCTTAAGTGGCTCTCGGGTCATGCTGTGATTTCTCTCTTTGCACCTTGTTTGGGAGTGTTTCTTTTTATTTAGTGCCTTTGTAAGGGAAGGCAACTAGTGGGCTGCTGAAAGAACACACTTGGTAGTCCTGTCTCACTGGCCTCCTGTAGCCCTTTTTGGTGCATGTTGTTGTTGGAAAGGAGATTGATTGAAACCAACTAGCTAGGTGTCCTTGTCTTGCCTGATCCCAGGGCTGTAGACCTGTAGGCATGTGGTAGTTGCCATTAAAAATTAACCAGTAGCCAGCTGCCTCAACTCTTTCAGGGCTTACTATGGTCGTGCCTGGGAGCTCAGTCCTGGACCAGTCGCCTCTGGGCCAGGCATGAGCAAGCCAGTGAGAGTGTAGAGCAGGTCTCTGGCTGGAGACCCGTGCAGTTGAACAGGTGGGTACACACAGGGAGCAAGTGGGGTCCTCTTAGACCTTTATCCTGAGAGGGTCCAGGGCCAAATATTATAAGAGCCCTGTAGAGATTGGGGCCCCGTCTTGCCAATCCTTCTCCCCACCCTCTTCAGAAGAGCAAGACCTGACTTGGGGGCAGGTGTGATCTGCACTGGGGATGCAGAACGATGTTTGGGGTGGGATGGCCTGGCATTGAGTTGGCCCAGGCCCCTTTCACCCATGGCAAAGCTCCCGTTTACTTAGCACCTTGCATACGGAGAGCTCCCTCTGTCTTGGGGAAATGTAAAGCGGGAAGGTGAGTGCCTGGCCGCTTCTTTTGCTCAGAAATAGCGTGAATTATTTGCTTTGGGCCAGGCAGCTACGCTGCTCTGCTGCTGCTGTAGGGGACATGAGCTCCCAGCTGGGGCAGTGCTCGTACGTTAGACACGGGGAGAGAGAAATTCTCCAGCTGCTGTAAGTGTGTAGATGCTGCTCAGGGGGCTGGTGTCATGAGTAAGTGTACTGTGTGTAGGGGGCTATGCGTGTGTGTGTGGTGAGCGAGTAGCACGTACGTGCTGAACGAGTGTACTATGAATAATGCGTGGGTGTGTGCAGTGAGTACACCATGCGTGGGGTGAGCACTACAGGCGAGCACCGGGATAGGGAGTTCTGTACGAGTCCCCCGTGAGTGTGCTCTGTGTGGCAGGGAGGGGGGGAGGGGTGTAGGCACGTGGGCTGCGTGTGTACAGTGAGTCTGTGTGTAACGTGGGTGAGCGCATGGGGCTGGCTGGAGGCTTAGACGAATATCCATGACTTTTTTTTCCTTCAGGCAGCGGCAGGGAACTGTCTGCGGATGGCTGCATCACCTGCTGCAGTGGCGCAAGTAGCCTGACTGGTATCCTGGCTCTGGAGACCAGGGCTGTGTTACCTTGGGAGCCAGCTCCCTGCTCTAGCCCTCTTCACTAGTGACACTTGAAAGATTGTACCCTGCACCTGGGTGTCCAGGGGTAGGATGAGACCCTGGTGTGCAGGGTCTTGGCTCCCTGAGGGAGCTGGTGAACTGCAGACAGCTTGCTATAACAGAAGTTGGAGAGCAGGGGCTGAGCCCACCTGGCCCAGAAGCCAGGGTGTGGAGGGCCCGGGGTCCCTCCTGTCCTCTCGCTGCAGATATGTTCACTAGATCCAGCAGAACCCTCTGCCCGTGGGCACGCGCCCAGGGGTTCAGGGCAAAGGCTGTCGTTCCACATCGGATTGAGAGTGAGCAGAGAGCCACTGGCGGCAGCTTCTGCTCCCAGTGCCTGGGTTAGCACTGATGCTGGGCCATGTGCTGGTCGGGCTGTCCCCAGTGGTCCCACAAGCAGCGAGTAGTCTCAGATCCTGCTGGGCTTCAGCACCATTCTCTGCATTGCTCTTGCTGGAGGGTGGGGGCCACAAGTGCTCCATGTGAGCTCTCTTGCTGTCTCCTGCGGGGTCTCTGCCCAGGTGGCAGAGGTGGGGTTGCCCCCCAGGGGCACCCCTGCACTACCCCCTGCAGTGCCTCCTGGTGGGGTGAGTGGGGATTGCAGTGCTGACATGTGAGCCCCAGGTCCAGTGTTATTTCCCTGGGACAAGCAGAGGCTTTGGGAGCTGTGAACTTCTCCAGTGTCTCTGGCCTGAGGAGGTTGGGGATGAGGGTGCTCTTGGGGTTCCAGCTGAGTTGGTGCATGGATGATATACAGACACGGAGGCAACATGTGCATATGCACGTCCCTTTTTGCTAAAGCTGCTGGCTTTTCCTTGGCAAAGTGTGGCAGACGTTGACCTCGTGTGACCTTAGCATTTCCTTCACCAAGTGTCAGTGCTGTGGAGCTGCTAATCTGAATGCTTAAGGGCAGCGTGAAGTCCTTGTTGTTGCTGTCTCTGCCTGTTCTCCCCCTGCCCCCTTTCTGTTTGCTGCTGGTCTCTGGACTTGTACTGTCTCCTGTGACCCTCCCCACCCCCAACCATGCTTGGTCTGGAGAGTGGTGACCACTCATGATAAGCTGAGCCAGCACAGGCCTGGCCCTCAGCCTCCCTGACCCAGGCAGAGAGATGGGTGTAGAGGGTCACAGTACCAAGGAGTCAGTGCACGATGACTGCTCCTGCTCCCGGGTCACGTCCCGCAGCCTGCTGTCTCTGGCCAGCACTGGGTGCCTGTGGCCATTGTGCTTGTGGAGCCATTCGGTTCTTCCTTTCCTGTCCCGTGGCTGCAGGGTGGAGATGAGGGTTTTTTCCCAGGTGTCTTCTGTTCCTTTATGCATGCCCGCTGTAGACAGGGTGGGCACCTAGCTCTAAGGTCAGCAGTGCTTGGCCCTCTTCCAGTGCCCTCCGTTGAGGCCTCAAAGGGATTTACAACACCTGGGTGGTGCTGCCCCCATATTAGATGGGGAAACTGAGGCACAGAGTGAGCAAGTGGTTCTGCTATGGCCAGCTGGCAAGTCAGGTGTAGGGCTGTGGCTGGCAGTGAGGGGTCCTGACTTGGAGGTGGGTGACTCTGAGATTGAGTGGTGGTGCCCCCCACCCTGCCCTTCTGGAAATCACTTCTGTCACTCCAAGCTCAACAGTGGCCCTTGGTCTCTGGGTCAGTGAGAGCACATGGGTGCTATGGCTGGGCCCTGGGACAGAGCTTGCTGGGCCCTGTGGGATGCACTCGGCTCTGTCCAGCCATGTTCATCACCCATGTTGTGCAGTCTGTTCCTTGGTGACTCCATCTCTCTCCAGCCCTTGTGGGGAACAATGGGCAATAAAACTCTGCTGTTCTCACCCCATGTGACTGCTGTCACACCCTCCTCCCAAGAGCTCCCACCCCTTCTCCCAGGCTGGTTCAGAGCCTGGGTGGATCATGTGGGAGCTGAGTGGCTCATGTCAGCTCCAGGATCCTGGCTCCTGGCTCCTGCCTCCTGCCAGCTGAAAGACTGCTGCTTCCGCCTGCTGTCTGTGGGCTGGCAATCGGGATGCCTGGACTGGCACCTGCACCGTGAGGCAAGCCTATCTGTGGGAAACAACGCTTCAGATAGGGAGCTTTCAGGTCTGTGGGCGTTGGCATGTGCAATGATGGTGGATGGCCAAGGGTAGCAGGACTTGACCGCTGGCTGAGACTTGGCAGACTCCTCGCTCTTGGGTGGGGGAGCTCTAGTCCTCCAGGTTGGGCAGGGAGACAAAGATTAATCAGATT